TGTGTTATAACAGTATGAACTCTTGAGATTTTTGCAATTCTTTGTTTTTGCTGTGTGTAAACTCCTTAATTGTAAGAGTATATCTTAATACTACATAAAGTTACACTCAAATTAAATTTTTAGGATAAATGTCTATAGATATGTCACCAAGATTTAAAATTGTGCTGGACAGTTCAACACTTGTAAATATTTGACATACAGGGTGTTCGGCAACAGGTGGGCCAAAATGTAAGAAGTGGTTCTACATGATAAAATAAGACGAAAATCAAGAATGACAAAATTGCGTCCGAGACTTTGTTTATTAATTATAAATATTTTAAACTTCGCATTAAGGGCGCCTGACGCACGGCAATTTTCCGATATTTGGCGTGCGTAAGGTACATCGGTAGAGTCGCCGTCAAAATACACTGTGACGCATAGGTATACAAAAACTTACATCGTAACCGTTGATGTATATTTTGCAAAATGTAAAATATTTATAATTAATAAACAAAGTCTCGAACGCAATTTTGTCATTCTTAACTTTCGTCTTATTTTATCATGTAGAATCACTCCTTACATTTTGGCTCACCTGTTACCGAACACCCTGTATATAAAAGGATATAAATAAATATATATATAATTTCTCTGAAAACTCTCTCTGATAATTACATACAATTACATACAAGTTAAAAATATCTATAATTTAAGTACTATATACTGTAATTTAACGTGCTATAAAAATCTGTTTAGGAATTAATTGACAAGAAAAATCATTTAAAATCTAATATTATACTTTTCAGCTCCGAATTCACTTCAACAAAAAATGCAATTGAATATAAGTCGGAAAAACGTAAAATTTGCGGTTGGAATGATAGTAAAACATACAGATGATGTTAATAGTTGTACAGGTGTAATAATCGGATGGCATCGACACAAAGATGAACATATTAAGTTTACCAAAAATACGAAAAGATCTAATTATTGGAAGGATTTCTGCTTTACACGTGAGCACGCGTGGTTAATGCCGACAAATTACTGTCATAATTATCAAAGACACAAAGTATTTTACATTATTCTTAACAATCATAATGAACTTAGTTATGTGAGAGAAGGTATAAATATTATTAAAATACGTCTTTATTTAAAATTATATTTGGTTATTCTACGAACTCATGCATCCTTCTGTGCATAATATCAAAAAATATTTTATTATTTTGATTTATTTTGTTACCTTTCTTAACTTAATTATTTCTATTTCTTATTTTATTATCTATATTTTATTGATTATGTTGTTTATATCGTAGTTATTAAATTTTTATTAAGAATTTTGAAATCTGTATATATTGACTAGAAATTTGAATTTAACTGATTAAAAGAGAGTAATCGGATAATAGTGTGTCAGTTACAACAAAATAAATTTTTCGCTGTAACTGAATAATTGTGTTGTGTACATGAATTTTGCTTGATACGATGTTAAGGTTAATTTGAAATTAAATTTCCATACAAGACTTAAATATCATTTATATGTGCGGCTTCTAACCAATTAAAAAAAAATAATTCTAATTTATATTATAATTTTAAGTTGCACTTTGTATTTTAGACGTTTTGAAATTAACAACGCTGCAATGAATCAAGAATATCGAAATAGGTCGTTATTTTCTTGAATTTAAAGGCACACATTACGTACCAAATGAAAGGCTGGCAACAATTTATCCTGACGATTCTGCTATAACTGCCAATATATATAAAAAATTTTTCTTGTTCAGTTGCCGGTTGACCTCTAACTTGCAGTGCTGGGTAAGATATATTTAAAATGTACCTCGAGAATAGCGAAATAGGTCGTTATTTTCTTGAATTTACAAGTACACATTACGTATCAAATAAAAGTGGCAACAATTTATCCTCACGATTCTGCTAAAACTGCCGAGATATACAGGGTGATTCTAAACAACCGTTTGTCCTTAACATGTCGTATTCCTGACTCAATTCTAAAACGATTTTTCCTTTGCCAAAATATTATTCAAAGTTTAGTTTTTGAGATATTAAAAGAAATAGTTAGCGAATTACGGCGCGCGTACGAGCGGTAGGCAGGTTGCCTGTCTGCTTACTGATAGGATCATGCTTTGCATAGATAAATTCTACTATATGACTTAATATATTTACTAAACATTTATTGAAAACAATGAAAAGATATAGGGTATTCGTGTGTGGATGTACGAACTTATTAATAATAAGTCCTTATCAAATACTTATCAAATATATTATATTTGTATTAGTATTAAAAAATGTGTTGTGTTAATTTTTATATGAGGAAGAAAATGTTTCCAATCGAAAAGTGTTTTTAATCAAATAAAAGAAAAAATTGCGAAAACATATATGTTTCCGTTGAAAATGACAAATATACAGATGAAATCTGCATGTATCGAATTGTCTTAAATATTTCTTTATTACATTTTATCATATAATGTGACAAAAACTTTTGGAGTTATCAAATTTGTATATACAATCATCGTCTACAAATACACTAACAAGGGACATGTCACAACTGTCCGGAACCGATTTGATTCTTCTTGAAATATATTGTTAAATACACAAATCTAAAAGACACGTATTTTTTTTATACGTGCGCATTTTATGTTTTAAGGGGTGAAATACCCCTTTAAAGGAAAACGGTATTTTTCTTTAGGATTGAATATTGTGCACCTATAAAAAAATATGTGTCTTCTAGATTTGTGTATTTAACAATATATTTTAAGAAGAATCAAATCGGTTCCGGACAGTTGTGACATGTCCCTTGTAAGAACAAATCAAGCAAATATATATACATATATACAGAGTGTCCCAAAAGTCTGGAAATGGTTGAATATTTCCTATACAATGCATTTTTACTCTCTTCTCTTCCACAGATCTGAACAGAACACCTGAATGAAAATATTATCGCTTTCTGTGTTTCTTTTCTTCGTTTCTTTTTGCTAAAGTTGCATAAAACTAGACGTTAAATAAATTTATATAAATTAAAATTAATGTAATATTTAATCATTTTTATAAAAATTTTATATTTATATGCCACTAAGATACATGAACTAATTCATGAATGAAAATATGCGTTTTTATGATATTAAACTTTTTTTAAATTCATAACTCAAATAATACAATTAAATTTTGGTATGCGGTAAGTATTTTTTTCGCTAAACTCTATATATTTTATTTTGACGTATAAATTTTGTCTTCAAAATAAAAGTTTACCTAAATAAAAATAACGAATGTTTATTTTTATTCAGGAATCGGGTTTGTTCAAGAACCGATATGTTTAATTTTAATTTCAAAAACTTTTATAATTAAAATAAACTACTTACAATAAATAAATCTGATGCTATTCTTTCACAAAAAGAACTTTCAAAATTCTTAATTTGCTAAATCAATTTGTACGTGCGTACAATTAACAAATTATGATGAGGCTTTCGAAATACGACTTTATCATAATAATATATCATGGACTAAAGTGTGATTCATTTCTTCGCAAAAAATTATTCAGTCCGCTCATGCAGTTTCTTTAATTATTCTCAACTGATATTGACCATCTCGATTAATCTACATAATTTTATTTAATCTTGAATATGGATTACAGTATAATTTAAAAATTAATCGATATCGATCCCCTTCAAAGTGTGAACTTTATGTTTCTTTTTTCGTTTGAAAAAATATTTGTTTGGGAAACTCTCTGACGTTTGAATTCTCGCGTCTTATTCGCCTCCGCGAGTGACGCGTAGCGCGCCGGAAGAAGAGGCGCTACGAGAGGCCGTTAGTGCCTAAGACGAACGCTTGAGGCGCTAGCCTCTTCCTTCGTCGTCCCGCTAAGCCGAGTCGGCTTCTGTTCGCGATCCTCTCTTGAAAAAAAAAACAAACGTGAATCGTTGCTTAGGAATCCTTGTTGGTCGATTCTCTACTGTCCGTGGAGACGCTTTAGTTCAGTGATAAAAAGGTTTCCGTTCGGTTCAGACATTGAGGAGAGATTGATTTGAATATATAATTCTTTTGGAAAACTACGAGCTTGGACGCTTTGGAACCTTTTAAGGTTAACTATGAGATGGGACATATCTCTTGGTTTGGAGGACAAATTCCCTTGAGTTCGCCTGATGAGGAAAGAAAAAGAGCCGTTCGTATTCTTAATTAAAAGGATTCGACAAGGTAACAAGTCTCTCAAGACTGGCCTAGCCAGGATTCTATTAAGACTGGCCTAGCCAGGATTCTTTCAAGACTGGCCTAGCCAGGATTCTATTAAGACTGGCCTAGCCAGGATTCTTTCAAGACTGGCCTAGCCAGAATTCTATTAAGACTGGCCTAGCCAGGATTCTTTCAAGACTGGCTTAGCCAGGATTCTATTAAGACTGGCCTAGCCAGGATTCTTTTAAGACTGGCCTAGCCAGGATTCTATTAAGACTGGCCTAGCCAGGATTCTTTCAAGACTGGCCTAGCCAGGATTCTATTAAGATTGGCCTAGCCAGGATACTAAAGTCATTCACATCTATTTAACGTATTGAATCTATTCGCTGCTACGATACCTTTTGTCTGGTTTAACGTACTAATGTTATATGTTTATAAAATACTAACGTCACTTATGGTTGTTGATCTCACCAAGACTTATGTTTGGCTTGACGTCTTGATTTATATATGTTTAATTCTCAAGTTTGATTTGACGTCTTGATTTATATGTGTTTAATACTCATGTTTTGATTTGACGTCTTGATTTATATGTGTTTAATACTTATGTTTGACTTGACGTCTTGATTTATATGTGTTTAATACTTATGTTTGACTTGACGTCTTGATTTATATATGTTTAATTCTCAAGTTTGATTTGACGTCTTGATTTATATATGTTTAATACTGTTGTTTGATTTGACGCCTTGCTTTTTTATGTGTTTAATACTTATGTTTGGTTTGACGTCTTGATTTAAATTAGTTTAATACTTATGTTTGATTTGACGTCTTGATATATATATGTTTAATATTTATGTTTGATTTGATGTCATGTTTTATATATGTCTAATCCTTATATTTTATTTGACGTCATGAAATTATCATATCTTTAAGACATTTATGTTTGACTGAATTAAATGAAATTCTATATACCGTTCAGATATTCTGTTTTCTACATTTAACGGTGACTTATTAATTGGATATAATATCTATTATATTCCTTAAGCGTTAATATATATATATATATATATGTGAAGATTTGATCATAATGAGTAAAGTTGATAGTATGTTTCTCTCACAATAAATTTCTGTTATTATATTTTATAAAAGTCCACCAACTCCCTAAGTATATCCGGAACAATATTCGGTAAAAAAAATTTCAATAAAATAATTGAAATTCTGTCAAAGACTCTTTAGGAAATCGTAAAGAAGATCGAAAAAGTAAGGTATGTACATATTTTCTTAATTTGGTAAAATACTACATTAATTTGCAAATTTATTTCTATTTTTTTATCGTTCATAAATAATAATTATCTCTTTTAAATGCAAGAAGTATAATAAAATGTAATCAATAACTAAAGTTAAATAAGAGTAAATTTGCAGTATAAAGGTCTTTAATAAGCAAATAATTAACGAATAAAAATAAAGAAATTTCTTAACAAAATAAAATTCCTCAAAGAAGAATAAGTAGATATGACTGTAATTATTGTAATCTTAATAACTGCAAATTTTGAAACTTTTTGATAATACTAATTCAATTCTTTTTCTTTTTAATATTTCTTAATTCATAATAAAAAAAAGTATATAATTTATAAATTTATATACTTAAGAAGTTACAATAAAATATAATCGTCAATGATCGATTTTTCTTAAAAAATAAAACAATAAATTATTTATTGTCGTGACTAGAGATAAATTTCCACAAGGTGAACAGCACCCATGAAATGAGACCGTATTTTGACTTACCCGCACCACTGAAATTCTAAGGAGTTCGGTCTCCTGGTCTCTAGTCTTCTTGAGCCAAAGAAAAGAATAAATATGTAAGATAGAGCTTTGTCGAATGCCAAAGTTACATGGAACACTTACTTCCAGTACGAAAAAGACTACAAAATTAGAAAGATTACTCATATAACAGTAGTTCTTCAATAATATATTATTGTTATAATTTTTTCGTATTCTTGTAGGTTTTTTTTCGTAAGAGTTGTCCAGAAAAGACAGATTCTTGCTTAGGAATTCGACTGCGAAATCGAGCGGCGAAGAATCCGCAGTAAAAGACAGCTTTAATTCAGCCAATTTGGAAGACTAAAATATTTATCAATGTCAAAAGGAACGTCAATCATTGTCATCGATGTACAAAAAATGGATTTTGCCGATAGACTGACTTTAGACCACGAGAAATTATTAACAAAGAATAATTGTCTACCTTAAAGATTTTACAAATTTCTCGAGGAAATACAACAAAGGAGACTTCTAGATAATCGTTGGACAAATAAAAAAATTGTCCAGATCACGAAAAAGAAAGTTATATAATGAAGATTATATATTAAATTATAAGAAAGTCAATAAAACAAGAATATCGTTTGTTTTAGAGAAATATGTAGAGAATTTAAAAAATACTTAAAATAAAAAAAAAATGTTTTATAAAAAATTATGCTAGAAAGTGTTTAAAGATGATTTGCCCTTCCCTCTCCTCTCCGATTCTTCAACCTGTCATCAAGAAATTTATCGCGCTATTATCATAAACTTTTTGTAATATAAAAATAATTATTACAAATTATTATAATCTATAAAATGATACAAAGGGATATTTAAATAAAAATATGTCTCAAATTTTAAAGATACAGTTTAAATTTTAAACTCCAAAGACGCATAGAATGGAGAAATGCAATCTGCATCTTTTTCCTACATTTTTAACAAAAATTTTATAAGAATTCTAGTAAAATAAAATAGTTATAAAATATTAAAAATATCATATAATATGAAACAGATAAAAAATTCAAATAAAATTGATATAAAAAACAAGTAGGAAAATAGAAATACGACTAATGAGAGATAAGAAAAAATAATATATACGAGCAGTCAAGATCTTATAAAATTTTTTTCAGTTGTTCAATTTAAAATTTACTTTAACTTTCACTTAAATGTTATTAAATTTATTTTCTTTAATAATTAAAATTTTTATAAATAACTTCTCGCATATTCCTTTTTTTACATTTTGCCTTTTATTTTTCTATTTATTTTAATAATATATTGTTTTCTGTTTTTTAATTTATTTATTTTACAGTTTTATTTTTCTCATATATACATAAAATTTCAAAAAATTTATTGAAAATTCATTACTGTTACAATAGTATTTTGCACTATGTTGCATTATGTAACTTTTTTCATTAATCTACCACGCGCAATATATCAGGAGACGCGGTAGCGTTTTTTAATACAATCTACAAAAAGACCAAAAAAAAACTGCAAGATATCGAAAAGATAGCAAAAATACCAAAACAATAACGAAAATTATTCGTAGGACGCTACTGTGTATCCTTTACCGGATGTAACACGATTTCGTAACCATGAAAACAAAAATTTGAAATATTTCATGAACTGGAACATTTTTTTGAAAAGATGACCATATCAATCGAAAGCGCGATTTTTTTCTAATAAAATAAGATTTTAACAAACTTGATAGTTCTATTGTCTCTCTCTCTCTCTCTCTCTCTCTCTCTCTCTCTCTCTCTCTCTTTTTCCCACCTTTGTCTTTCTCTTTTATATTTAATAATATTACAGTCACTTTAGAGTTTGACCTCGCACAAAATGTTAAAGAGCTGAATTTTGGTGCAAATCTTCGTTTTTGCATAAGATTGGAATGGAAAAAAAATTACTATTATTATATAGTGGTCGTTAAGAAGAAAAATTAAACAATTAGAACTCAAATTTTGTCTTTTGCAAATATCTAGTTAAATATCGATTTTACAAAAAAAAACAAAAAAAAAAAAAAAATACAAAAGTACAAAATTAAAGAATTGATAATTTTGCATAAAAAATGTTATCTATAAATCTTTCATACAAGTAATATTTTTTATGTAAATAATTTTGCAAGACGTACGCTGCGCGATGTATTCATGGAGCGTGCTGACAGACGTTATGTGGATTGAAGCGTTACACGCGCGCACAAAAATGTCATAACTTTTGAACGAATACAGAAATAAGTGAAGAATCATTGAGAAGCCAGAGATTTCAACTTTTTAATGCAACCTTTTGTTATACTACGCTAATACTTAAAAATTTTACGATAGTTTAAACAAAATGTTACATGTAATGTTTGTCTTCTCTCATTTAATTAGTAACAGATAGTCTTAGAATTTTTTGAAAATTTATCATAAAATAACAAAACAAATTACATTAAAAAGCTGAAATTCCCAGATTTTCAACGGTTCTTTTTTAATTTCTGTTTGCTAATTTGTTCAAAAGTTATGACATTTTTGTGCGCGCATGCAATACTTTAATCCACATAACGTCCGTTGGCACGCTCCACCATGCTCTGTCAATTCACCGCACAACAAACAACTTGTAAATTTTTTAAGTAAAAAGTATAGCTTATACGAAAAAAGTTATAGAATACTTCATGCAAAATTGTCCATTCTTTAATTTCGTACTTTTGTATTTTTATTTAAAATGAATATATAACGAGATATTTGCAAAATAACAGAATTTGGGTACTAATTGTTTAATTTTATGTTTTAGTGGCCTTTTTCTTTAATCTCATGCAAAAACAAAAGTCTGTACCAAACTTCAGTTTTCTAACATTTTTTCTGAGATATAGCTCAATTTTTATCTAAAGTAACTGTAGTATAATAGTATAATAGCTAACAAGTGCGGGGGATTGTAAATCGGCCGAGAATGCGGAAGTTTGGCGCACGATCGGCCGATTTATGACCCGCACATGTTAGCTACGATATTTTGTGTGACCGGTGCGTGGAAAGGGAGCCCTTTCTAAAATCTTATCATGTGCGTAAAGGGCGACTTTTCGCGCACCGGTTGCACAAAATATATTGAGAGTCACTATAAAAGCTACACGCATGCACATACATATGTAAGTACACAAGCATGTGCGCACGTAAGCATAGATATATGTTTACATATACATATTTTTTAATATATTAATGAACTTTGCAAAAATATGTGAAATCCCATTAAAAAAGACATCACAGATATAAAAAAAGGCTAAGTTATATCTTTTGCAAACAACAATAATTCTTTACAAAAAATCGTAATCAAATATATATTATCTTCTCAAAAATTATGTTTATAACCAAAATAATTCTTTGCAAAAATTAATTATCATCAAAAATATTTTCTCAAAAATTATATTTATAAATTATATTTTATTTTTGTTAATAATACTAGAAAAAAATTAAAATATTAGCATCAAAAAATAGTAAAATCAAAAATTTACACTAATTGTAAGTAAATGACAACATAATATATAATATTTAGATGAACTTTCTATAATGATACAAATGTATAATTATTGCTTTATTTAAAAATGTTTATAATATATATATATTAAAAAATAAATTCACTAAAATATATATATGTATTTATTTCTCTTTAAATTTAATAACATGAATAACTATGTAATTAATTTAAACTGGAATGTATACACATTATAAAGTTAATATATATTTTTATAAAATATTTAGATAAATACGTATATATAATAAAATAAATTATTTATCTCTAAATAATTTATTAATTATTTAACTCAAATACATTTAAACTTATATTCAAAAAAGATAATATAAGGCACAAAAATTTAATGTAAGAAATTAAAAAATTTAAAGTTCAATAAAAATTTTTAATTTAAATTAAAAATGAAAGTACAATATGTAATGTATAAAAAATACATAGCGTTGTTTTTGTATTGTTATTTTAACACATTAATAAATAAAATAAAATATAAATCAAAGTATTTTTTTTTATTTTTTAAATAACTTCTCGCACTTTCCTTTTGTTACATTTTGGCTTTTATTTTTCTATTTATTTTAATTATATATTGTTTTCTGTTCTATTAATTTATTTACTTTACAGTTTTATTGTTCTCATACATACATAAAATTTCAACAAATTTATTGAAAAATTTATTGAAAATTCGTTACTGTTGCAATAGTATTATGTTTAGTTTTTTTACAATTTTATTAAAAAATGTTTTGATTCAATTTTAGATGGCCGTCTACAAAAAAACTATATGACAAACAGTCTACAGAAATATTTAACAAAAACGGAAAAAAAATTGAAAACTTTGTGTCCACAGGCAAAAATTATGTAAAACAATTACAAGAAATTGTGGATGAAATAAAGAAAAAATATTTTCAAGAACCAAGTATTTCTGATCATAATCAATATATTTGTCTAATAGATAATTTTATCAATTTTACAAACATATTCGATGTAAATAATAGTTTAAACAATTATTTGTCTGAAATAACGACTACGCCTGAAAAATACACTTATATCATTGATGAGCTTAAATACGTGCTTGCAAATACTTCACAGTAGGATACCATTTTTCAATACCATTATATATAGTCCTATTCATTTTATAAATTAATATACTTATTGCACAGTATTAATTTTTTCAGAACTGATTGCGATCTAACCGAAAGATATTGCGTTTCAAAATTATTTCGCCATTTAAAGCAAATTTCCGCAGAAAAAAACTTGATAAAATATACAAAAGAGTTTCCTGAAGAAGGTATTTTTGAAAAGATTGCTACTACTATGGCACAATGCATTAAACCCGAAGAGAATGTACTTTATGAGTCCATAGAAGCATCAATCGATAATATGGTTACGAGTGTGCTAAATTCCCTCAAAAAAAAATATCCCGATCATTCGATACACTCGACAGCCAATGAAACTTTTTTCCGTTGGAAAAATAACCATCTTATGGCCTTTGAAAATCATTGGAACGAAATATAATAGAATCAATGGAGATTATGAATACAATCCATGAATATATATTTACCACATTAAACTTTCAATTTTGCGGAAAACACACCAACATAAAATATTTATGTATAGATAATATTAGTTTTATAACAGATTTTTATAATATATATTTTAATTAAAGGATCTACAATATTCGCACTCTAATTAATTTCTGTATTTTTTGATTTTTGACGCAGGTCTTAGAAGATAAATGTGGCGAAGAAATAATTGTATTAATAATATGTAAAAGTGTGGCCAGAAGACTTGGTATAGATTGTATGGTACTGAGTTTAGACGAGGAAAATTGCAAGTTTCTTTTACTTTGGAAGTCGTAAGTGTAATATTAGATTTGAAATTATCTATACTTTCTAGTATTACTCTTATTATATACACACATGCATATATACATAATTTTTTATTGTTCGTAAAATCAGAAACCCGGACCAAATAAGGTGCTTTAACAAATTTTCTAAGAATATCCAAAATTCTTTTTCCAGTCAGCCTTTAACAAATGACAATTCTAAAAATTATACCTTAATTGTAACATCTAAAGAGGTAAAAACTATACTATATCATACATATATAATTTCTATTAATTTTAACACTAATTTAATTAATATGTTCGTAAAGATGTGAATCAATGAGACACGCTTTATACATA